CCGGGTGGACTACTATACAACAATTTAGTTTTGTTTTTTGATGTTAGCAATGTTCTTGAATTAGTCAACTGCAAAATGCCTAAACTTTGGGGTTTCATGATAACGACACAGTAGGGAGATAATGGTTTCATTGAGATTGGGGTTCCATGATAACGATATAGTAGGTTAACAGAATCTGATTTAATTTTTTTGATTTATATGGACCAATTTTTTTAATTTAGTTTAAATTTTGTAAAGTAAGTTGACATATGTTTAAGATAATTAGGAATTGTCCTGCTTCTTCAGTGTTTAAAAATCTAGCAAGGATATTCTCAACATACTTTAGAAATGATTTTAGGTCAAGATGAGGATTTAATGCCATCGCAATTTAAAAAGCGTTTTCTTCATGGTATTGTAGAAAAGATTCTGCTAGTACAACCATGAATGAAAGATCTATAGGACCAGAATTCTCCAATTCATGGATCTAGTTGTTTCACAAGAAATAACAATGGTGAAAACAAAACTCTATTTGTTTACACCGCTTTTACACCAGTTGTCTAGTTTCTGATATAGTAAGCTTGGTGGAATATTTGTGGGAATCATTTTTACTTAATTTGTCTATAAGGATTAAAGTGGCTTTCTCTAGTAGAATTGATGGGTACAGGTTTACTACATAAAATAAAACTTGAACCTCGTTTTTGTCAATCTCTGATAAATTTGCTTTACTAATAAAATCAAAAGAACTTTTCAGCCAAAACTAATTTAACAATTTGATAATAGGCAGTTTGTTAAAACTAGATTTTGAATTTCACTTTTTAAATTTTTGTGTAAAAAAAAAGAAACCACTTAAATTGCTAATGTCAGTTAATTTTAAACTGTTTTTGACATTTAAAAATTTTGTATAATTTTACGAGCTGGTGATGGTGGTAATTATAATCCAGCAAAAATTTCAAATAATAAAATATTATTTGCATCAAGAGAACTCATATTATTTTATGTTTTCTTATTAACATAACATTAACATGACATCAAGTATAACTCTTACAAGATACAAGATGTTAACACTAAAGGTATATATATATATATATATATATATATATATATATATATATATATATATATATATATATATATATATATATATATATATATATATATTAGGCATATAACTTTTAAACTTTTTGAATAAAAATTGATTTCCTGGGGTTTCAGTAGATTCTTTTATATGTAGATTGCATTTATTATTCCTTTAGTGAAAAATTATGAAAAAAAGTGACGCACCCATAAGCATCTTTTGATGATGTCACAATTTAATATAAAATTTTAAACAAATGGCATTATATAATTATATTGCGCTAAATGTAGGCAATATTTTATACCTTAAATGTTAGCTTCTTATTGCTAATTAAAGCTAAATATAGTTTTAACAATCTGTCTTTAACCAATAGGCTTACACTTTCAAAATTTCATATTAAAAGTAGAGTTTTTAGTAGTTTGGCTTTATAAGCTTCGATTTTTCTCATCTGCTTTTGACTAATTACTTTATTGTTTTATTGTGGTAGCTATTCTGACAGAAAAAGTTTATATTTTCATTAGTTTATCAAAGACATGTCTATACTATCACGTAACCTAGTTAATAAAAGCTCCAATGTATGGCAGCAGAATATAAAAAGAAAAGTTGTAATGCATTCAGAAATACCTTTGCGAGTTACTGAATTAAATGAACTCTGCAAAATGCCTCTTAACAGGGACATTGTTGGGTATTTTTTGGGATACATGATAAAATGAAGGATACATGATAAAATGAAGAAAATAAGAATAGAAACTATTGCAAAGGATCTGAATTTACTTTAGGATAAATTTAATTTTCCTGTTGCATCAATGCAACGTGTCCACCCAAAAATTGAAAATCTAATTGATGCATATGTGAGATACAGAAAGAAAAAGGGTAAGAGATTTTTGGAGGAATTAGCAAGCCTCTTTGATATAACCAAAACTGATGGAAATTGGTTGTCCTTTTAAGACAAACAACTTTGCCTACAGCAGATTGAATCTCATGGTACTGTTGGATACACAACTGCGAAGCTTGCACCAGTTTCAACAATTTATCCGCCTAAACACCGAAAAGTTATGCAATCTTCAGTTGAGAAACAAGTCATGGTAACTTTAGATGAATCTGTGCAAGAAACTGATGCTGAAACATCACCTGGTGATGATTTTATACTTGAAGTGGAAACAAAGAGGAAAAAATATCAAAAAACCATGGCTGCTTCAAATCTGGTTACCAAATATTCTCTATCTACAAGACAATCATCCAGAGTCTGTTCTAGTCTAGCTGCTGAATGTTCTGCTAAGTTACCCACATCATCACAAAACTGGAATATGAAAAAGAGTGGTCAGAGATGGAATTAGAAAGGCTGCTGAAATAAAATGCATTCTTCAGCAGGAAAATGCTTTCTGTTTGCATTTAGAAAGAAACTGTCATCTAAAGAATATGAAGTTGTTTGCTTGCAAAGTCCTTCATGGAAATTGAATTTAGGTATCATCATATGTGAATCTGGTTCGGCTGCAAACATATTTTCTGGATTGAAGAAACTCTTAGATGACTTCGATGCGTGAAAGAGAATTAAAATGATTGTGTGCGATACAACAGCAGTCTGGTAGCAAAAATGGAATAATCGCTAAGCTTTATAAAGAATTTGAAAGAAAATGTATTATTAAACCGCAGTACATTGGGTGTCAACACCACACCCTTGACATGGTTCTTCGACATTTACTTGACGACTTCTGTGTTCCAACAGTCTCACAAAAACCAGATATAAACTATGAGTTTGTTGATAACATTTGCAGTCAGTATGAGAACCTTCAGAAGAAATATACAGGTTAAGTTGAAGTACCTGCTTCTGAAAATGCTGGATGGAGGAGTGATTTCAAGTTTCTATTCGAACTTTGCAAGGCTTACAAAAACACAAAGAAATGCGCTAAATTTCCAAAAATCAAGTTGCGAAAACTTCCTTTACTTCATAATGCATAATAAAACTCTAGAGCAACATATGCTCTACTAGCTTATTTTCTACAATTGTGAACACTCAACAGTGACTAAAGTAAGCATATATTCATATGGATGTTTAAAATTTCTGTTTTACAATATATAACTTGTGTGAATTAAGCATTGTAGCTATTTCTTTAAGAGTGCACCAGGTTTTTTAAAATTTAAACAAAAATTAAGTCATATTTACTATATTTAGATAAAAGTTCATGATTTGCCACCCCAGGAATCTTGATTTAAAAAAAGTCATATATCTGATATATATATATATATATATATATATATATATATATATATATATATATATATATATATATATATATATATATATATATATATATATATATATACATATATATATACACACACAATTGAATAAAAAATGGTTTTTATAACACAATGTTATATTTGATTTAGTTCAGGCAATACACAACATTGTTGCAAGTATGCCTGAAGTAAACAAAGAAATTATGTTTGACTTGGCTAATTACCAATCAAAGGGTGGCATATTTGGACTGGTTTATTTGGACTGCAGTTGGAATAACTCAACCCATAAATTGGTGAAAAAGGTTGTGTTCCTTTACTGAACTATCAAAAGTTGCATCTAGAATTCTTCAGCTACCAGCTTTAAGTGTAGCATTTGAGAGAAGTTTTAGCACTTATTCTAAAATTCATAGTGCGAAAAGAAATCGCTTAACAACTGAAAGACCTGGAAACTAGTTTTCATTTCACAAAACTCAAAACTTGAAAATATTAAAAACACCAGTTATGAAAATGGTACAAGCATAATTACTCCTCAAATTAATAAATCGAGTGTAAATAAAGTTCCTAGCACTTGTATGTGTTGGTCAGAGTCTGAAGCAGTTGATATAGAAAGTGACAGTGACTTTGTTTATGAATCATTAGATGAAGGTAGTCTAGGACAGTAAGACTCGAACTCAGAAAGCACATCCATTTAGAATATCTTTTATAGTTTAAATACATGTTAAAATTACTAAATTATTGATTTTTTTGCTTAAATAATTATACTTTTTTTTAATTGTGTATTTAATACACTACACAGTGCTACTTAGCACTAAATTAAAAACCAATCAAAACTAATAAAATATTATTATTCAAAAATATTAGAATTTTATGTAAGTTAAATTAAGTTAGAGCTTTTTTTATAAGGGCTTACTGGTTTACTGCAATTCAACATATGTAACAAACAATGTAGGACCAATTTATTACATAATAATAAAGATTGTCTATTTTTTTTAAAGATTTGAAGTCTGATATTAAATAAGCATGATATTGTAAATTAGTGTATTTGAATTATAAAAATGGTTATTTTGTCATAGGAGTAAATAACATATAAGTATAGTTTCTGTATATAATGAGTGTAATATTTAGGAAGTACAATATTTAAGAAGTAAAACGTGACAAATAAACATTCTCATACAATATACTTAGATTTATAACTAACTTAATATTAAATCGCCTAATAAATATACTTAATAAATTGCTCATTTAAGTTTTTTATTAAAACATCAACTTTAAATTTGTGTTTATACATTGTATTTGTGGTTATAATGACAATATACTATAAATAAACAGAATAAAACAAAAACTCTTCCAAATTATTTACCAAGAAAAATAAAAAACTTAATTAAAAAGTCAAAAAAACAAAACAAAAAAAAATACCACAAAATCCATAAAAACAAACGTTTTTTTGATCTAAAAAAGCGTTTTTTTTTGCAACTCTATTTATAAATAAAAAAACAAAATTTACAATTATGGATCATCCATATATTATCTATGCACTGAGTAAGCAAACACATTTAAGCAAACACAAAAAATTGAGGTGGCAGTTCACGTTCACTTGCCCATTAATAAAAGGTCATAAAGATTGAACAGCGCAAAAAAAAAAGTGATGTTTTTTGTAGGTAATATATGGGTAATATATGCCCCTTACTAAAATTAAGTAGCTTACGAGTAAGTGAAGATCCTGAGAGGTGCTATTTCTACACCAATATTGCCAAATGATTTTGTTATTTTATCTGCAGTCAGACAATAGTATACTACATGTGCATAAACAAACTTTTGACCTACAAAACAACCATTTTTTTAAAATTACAAAATGAAAATAAAGTCCAAATAAAAATTTTTAAAAATTAATTACCATTAGATTCGTATTCAAAATCAAGATCACTAAATGATAGGTTAAGTAGTTCGGATTCTTTCACTAGTATTTGATCGCTTTTGTTTTCAAACTTCTCATACATTGCTTTTGCATCTGCGATACCCTGTTGTAAGTGAGCTAGTTATTAAATAAATTATATTTGTAAATTTCTTTCAACATTAAAAATGTTTTCAGGTTAACCTCTTTTGTACAAAGCTCATTCATTTCTGAAAATCTTCCTTCTGCTATATGCTCGCTTACGAAAAATATTGCCTAAAAAGTGGAAATTATAATAACAGTTAACAGCTACTCAGAATTTTCAATTCCAGACACTGCATACTATCTCTTATTGGTAACATATATTAAATGATACATTTCTAACACACTGGATATATTCTCTATATATTTTTTATACAATCTTTTATAATGCGCCTACTGATGTTAGAAGTGGAAGTAATTCTTTAATCTTGCATTATAAAAAAGTTTTTAAAGTTGTAGAAAAAAAACTTAAAAAAAAAAAAAAAGTAAACTTAAAAAAAGAGTAGCTAAATAGTAAATAGCAAAAATAGTAAAACAAAAATTCATAATAAAAAATGAAAGTGAAAATATGTCAGCAATTTCCAATCTTAAAAAAAGCAAAACAAATAGAACAAGAAACTCACACAAAATTTGTTTCAACTTTTTTTTTTTTTACAAGAGAATTGTAGTTAATAGATATAAATGTTAATAGAGTATTTTAGAATAACAAAATTTAAAATCTAATATGCAAAAACCTAATTTTAATTTTAGAAATAGCTAAAAAAAATTATTACTTATGTGAACCAAAAATCTGAAAAAGTCTGAACTAATTTCAAAATGCAGTGTGACTATAAATATATTACTGAAAATAAACTAAATTTAGCAAATAAACAAATTTATTAAATTCATTACCTGTTTTGCTCCAGCCAAAAATTCTTTTTCATTGAAGTTTTCATCAAAGAACGAGCGCATTAAAAAGATTTTAATTTTAAGAGAGATATATTTAAAAGGGTTGATAATGGTAATTGAATGCCTGATTTTTTCATTGTTTTCATTTTGGTTAATACTAGTTCTATGAAATTGATCAAGATTAAGTTTAACAGGATAATGCAAACTAGATAAGAGTTTACAACTATTTTTTTCTGTTGTTCTGCAAAATATACTATTTCCACTAAATAATCTATAAGAAGAATTTCTGAAGTAATGTATGCTTAAAGGAGACCTTCTCACTATCCATTTCTGCAGAATCATGCTTTTTTTATAAACTTCATCTTTAAAAAAATCACAAACATTAACAAATAAATATACAAAAACTTTATAATAAAAAAGAAAAAAGGGTCATTATTGAATTGCCTAATGGTTCGCAAGGTACCACCTCAAACTTGTTTCGAATTTTGACCACCCACAGTTTTCATTAAATAAAAAACAATCCTGAAAATTTTAGCTTGATTGACCAATCCATTAAAAAGTTATAATTGATTTAATATTAACCCAAATCAGAAAAATTTGAGTACCTGGAGCTTACAGTAGATTTATATAAATATATATATATAGTTATTATACACTAATGTTACTAAATAGTGCAATAATAAGAAAATCTTTAGAAACTTTAATACTTACAGCCAGACAGTACCAATTTTTTTTTCAACTTTTGTGTACTTAGAGTGACCACGTGGTAAAAATTAAAATTATGAGTTAGTTTAACACTTGCAGTAAAATATATATATTTTTTAAATATTATAAATTATTTTTATTTTGCAAGCATAGAAAATAGCATAAACAGATGAAATAGATTATGAAACTTCTTACTGGGGAGGTCCTTTGTATAGACAATCACCGAAAAAAATTTAAATCATCTACCTTATGACAATTTTAGCCTTTGGAGTGTGATGCTTTTTTAATTTAAAAGGAGACCTAAAAAATAATGCAAGTTATATTGCAAAAAAATAAAAATAAAAAGTAAAACAATGCTGAAAGAAGTTTTTACACACATGAAACACAAGTACACTAATTTCTTTATCTCTGCTAAATCTCTGTTAATCATTATTAGATTGTAGTCACAAGCACTTCTACCCTTAATGGATAGAGCACTTATTTGACATATTACTTTGTCAAATGGAAGTCAACACTGCATCAACAGTTTATTTCAAATTTAATTTGTTTCTATGCATTAATTTCACCTTAACAGCTTTTCATTATAAATCTCAAGCACAAGCCTGAACTGCAAAAATAAATTATTTGCGTGAAAAACTATTACTGTACAAAATTTCAGGTATTCATCTTTTTTATTTAA